TCTTTATATTGTGTTTGGGTCTGATTTTACAACCGTTCAGTTTTCTATGACGTGTTTTTGAACTCCCGGGTCAAATTATTTGTGACATGACTTCTAAATAAGATCTGGACTTACCAGCTATAATTTGGTGCTCTTCATTCTCCTCTGGTTCTGGGTCAGACTCTGGTTCTGGGTCAGAATCTGGTTCTGGGTCAGACTGGTTCTGAGACAAACTCTATAGGTCCCACATGTAAGGCTGGATGGAAAAGTCTTCTGTTGTTGACATCTTTTAATTCAYTTGTAAATAAAAAGWTTCTGTGCAGCTATATAATCRTAAACCCCTCYATCAAACTAGAATGAACCAGTCTGGAAGCTGGAAGGGGGCGGGGCGTGAAGCTCCTCCTTTGGGGGGTGAGCTGAGACACACCTCAGAGAAGGGGCGGGGCTTGTGGAGTTACAGGAAGGAGGAATTCAGACTAAAGCAGTTCCACTTCATATAAAGTTAATTTTGACTTGAATATTATGATTGTTTTCTGGACACTGAGACTTTAGTTGCTGATTGATGAGATGTTTTCTGTTTAATAAAAAACACATTCAGGAAATGATGTTATTTGATGATGAGATGTCTGAAACATGAATAATGATGTTTGATGATTGTTTTTAGTGGAAACTTATTGCTGGATTGTGCAGATGAGCTGAGAGTCCCATGTTCAGCTCTACGTCTTCCCCTCCTCCTGATGGGACTCATGTCTGTCAAAATGTTGCATCAGAGCAAAGGAAAAACAACAAGTTGCTCAGAATTTATTCACCTTTCTTTAACCAAACAAACAGATTTTATTTATAAGGGAGGCCTGGGCCTGAGGCCAGCCTAAAACCAGKTTTTTGGACTGTGAAAGGAGACCGGAGTACCTGGAAGCAAACCCACGTAAACACATGGAGAACATGCAAGAAGTCTCTTGGAGGAGAGATGAAACATTTCACTAAAGAAGAACCCATCCAGAGGTCCTACTTATTTTTTTCTTTTTGACCCACAGATCAGGGCTGGAACCAGGACCTTCTTGCTGTGAGGCATCAGTGCTGACCAACTGAGCCGTCCTGCTGGGGGTTGGGGGGTCTATCCCCTGCCAACCTTCAAATCAGCTCCTTCCCTGACAGTCACCTTGGATGAGGAACTGATACGATCTCACGAGGTTTTCCAGASTCAGTGTTTGTCAAAATGGGCACCGCCAGGGGGCGCTAGTGAGACCTCAGAAAGCTGGAAGGAAAAAAAATGATATCAATAAATGTTTTAAATCATTATAAAATCAAATCTGTTTTAATCATAATTTTAAAACATTATTTATAATCATTTATTTAAATGTTATTTAAGAGAGCTGTTTTCTTCTCTTCTGTTCTGTTATCATTGAWTTTTCAATAGGAATATAATACAGTGTTTAAAACATGTTCATTAATAAAAAAATATGCTAAATTAGATGAAATAATTATTAAATAGTGAATAAAAGTGAGAAAAAACATAAAATTAGAATTTTTTACATATTTTGTAGCATTGTTTGTGGGTATGTAAGGGGTCCCCGGCCAGAAGCTAATGTTGTTTTGTGGACCATGGATRTGTWACRCCATAGGGAACCCCTGTCCTCCTGCATGGAGGGCTAGGTGCTGGACCAGTCTCTCCAAATAACGTGAGGCTGCATTTCCAGCCTGGATCCAGTATAACACCATCAACTCTGCAAGGACAACATGTAGCTTACAGTCTGGTTGTACTGTTTCACTTGATAAAAAAAATCTTTTCCTCACCTGCAGTTTTATAAAAATAAACAGACAATTTGACTTGATAATTATCCACAACCAAAATCCTAAGTAAACTATAATTTGARTGTCGATTGAACACAATTCAAGATTATTTTCGTTTTAGATAAATGAGAATTATTTCTTGAGGATTAATTATTGCTTCATCTCATGTTGTCAAATCATCAAATTTAAATAATTACTTGACAACTATTTCTAAAAAAACATAATTTGCCAAATTTTTATTCATATTTTTGTCGGCTTTTATTATTGTGGTTATTTTTTAATTATTTAACAAACTTTGAAATCCAAATGTGACCTCCTCTTCATTTGATAAAAAAAATTGACAGATCCTGTTATTGGGGGGGCGGGGGTATTATGCAGAATATCCACTCTTTTGAGTTTATATCATGTTATAATGTCATACCCTCATCATAAACATGCCCAGAGTGTTGTTTTGACTCATTCATGCATGTTTGAGAAATCCTTGAATCTCCTGTGGCCATGTGGAGCTGCCTTCACCTGCTGGTACAAAGCTCCTCCCTGTCTGAAGGAGGTTCTTAAAGAGACAGAGGCCAATTTCAAGGTGTTTATACAAACAACATACCCCCCCCCCCCCCCACACACACACACACACACTTTGGTGGTTGAGTTCTGATAATGAGCGGGTGTGAATCAACCTGTGCTTGACTGACTCAGCTACGTGAATAGGGAAATGGGGAAATATGTGTCACATTTGCCTTATTTCTCATTTCCACTTGCTGCAACATACAACACAAACTCTTTGCTTTACACTGTCATAAAGTGCTAGGTTCTTCCCTTAGCAAAATATCTCATGAAGTACTGGACAGATTTGAACAAACCTGGCAAAAAAAAAAAAAATAAAAAACAAGACAGGCTTTATCTCTTCCTCTTTTTAAATCTCTTTTAAAACTACTTTTATTCTCTGGCTTTTAACACGCTGTGATTTTGTTTTACTATTTGGCAACTTATGCTCACCTGCTGTGAACTTGAAATGTGTTTTATGTTTCTTTTATTGTCTTATCTTATGTCTTACTGTACATCACTTTGGTTGCCCTTGTGGTTTTTAAAATGTGCTCTAAATAAAGTTGATTGATTGACTGATTGATTGATTGATTAAAAACTCTCAAAAAGTAATTATKGGCTTTGCATTCATATTGTTTAATTTTTCATATCTCAGTTCATTATGGCCAAGACAAAAATAACCATAACTGTCAGCTCCAAGGAGACTGAGCTGAAACTGGATGTGGTATTAGCTGAAAGTTATCTTTAACATGATCTCTTAGAGCTAATACCACCTTTATTATTCCATTAGATTATTATTATTATACTGTATTTATTTCATTTCTTTAAAAAAACAAAATCTATTCTAAAATACAAATAAAATGAAAAACAGCAGAAATAAGAAAAACAAATCTTGTAATATTACAGCAGTAGTGTCTAAAGTCAGTCTGAAGGGCCGGTGTCCTGCATGTTTTAGGTGCTGCCCTGGTTCAACACAGCAGAACCTGAGGAGTGCTTATAGACCTCCTCAGTATGCCATCAAAGTCTGCAGAGGCCTCCTTAGCCTCCATCAAAGTTTCTTCAAAGTTTGATTAAATGCAATCATTTCTCACAATTTGCTGTTAGCTTAAAACTTCTATTTTGAGTAAGCCTGCTGTCAGGGAGTGACACACGTGTGCAGTTAACATGGTTACCCTGATGAGAGGAGAATCACAGTAGATTCAGTGTCTGCTTTCAAAWTGTGTTCAGAAATGTTCTAGTTCTCACATCAGAGGCAGGATGCTGCAGTTTGTGTTGAATTGAATTCCGATAATGGATTTAATATTATCTTACTCCCTCGCTCTTCTACAGTCCTGTGTCACAGATTCAGAGCCTGCAGTCTGCATGAGTAAAAGGTCCAAGTTCCCCTCACAACGTGCACGTTTGTGAGCGTGAAAAACTGCAGGCCATTAACCAGGAAACAGGTTTCCTGGTTTGTGATGCAGGTTCAGCAGTGCACTCAAGTCTGTTCTCCCCAAAGTGGTGTAATTTGCACAAAAATGCTATTTCTTCATTTTAAAAGGTGCTTAAACTCAAAATTATGCAAAAGAAATCCGTGACCTCRAACTTGTAAATAATGTTGCCTCAACCCTCATAACAATTTTTAAGC